ACACCTGCCTAGCCCCCCCCCCCACACACACACCTGCCTTGGCCCCACATGACAGTCCTCAGTCAGTGTTGCCAGGTAATACATAAACAAAATACCTCAAGCTGATATTACCAGATGGGTGAAATTTCTCTCCATTGTACACGAATTACGGGCTCACCATAGCCCGTGCTACTTGGAACTGCTTGTTCCAAGTACCTAATCTTAAACAACAAACATCTCCATTGTATTCAGAGAGGGAGAAGAGGTAGGAGGAGATAAGGGGAGATAGGAAGGAAGAGAGAGATAGAGAGGGGGGAAAGGGATAGAGAAAGAGGGGAGAGGAGAGGGAATAACAGTAAATATGGGGATATATTTAAAAAAATATATGAAAATATAGCTCAACAAATCTGAGATATAGAGAGAGGTATAATGAACCAATTACAATGACCCAGATACAATGAACCAGATACAATGACCCAGATACAATGACCCAGATACAATGAACCAGATACAATGACCCAGATACAATGACCCAGATTCAATGACCCAGATACAATGACCCAGATACAATGAACGAGATACAATGAACCAGATACAATGAACCAGATACAATGACCCAGATACAATGACCCAGATACAATGACCCAGATACAATGACCCAGATACAATGAACCAGATACAATGAACCAGATACAATGAACCAGATACAATGAACCAGATACAATGACCATACACTCCTTCACTTAAATAAGTGCCCAAGCAGGATAAAGTAAGTATTCGAGCCTCAGATTATCCACTGGCCACTTAAGGCACTTATGGAGCATATAGTTACCCCTAAGATTCTCTCTAAAGTGCACTTAAAGTGTACTAATCCACGTTTAAGGGTTCACTTATAAGCACTGGAGGGGTATATATATATATATATATATATATATATATATATATATATATATATATATATATATATATATATATATATATATATATATATATATATATATATGCGAACAAGCCTGAATGGTCCCCAGGACATATGCAACTGAAAACTCACACCCCAGAAGTGACTCGAACCCATACTCCCAGAAGCAACGCATCTGGTATGTACAAGACGCCTTAATCCACTTGACCATCACGACCGGACATAATGAGGTGATAGCCGAGGCTATATGAACCACCCCACCGCCGGCACTCGGATAGTTATCTTGGGCATAGCATTTTACCAAATCACCTCATTCTTTGGGGCACACGTGAGGAACACAAATGCGAACAAGCCTGAATGGTCCCCAGGACATATGCAACTGAAAACTCACACCCCAGAAGTGACTCGAACCCATACTCCCAGAAGCAACGCATCTGGTATGTACAAGACGCCTTAATCCACTTGACCATCACGACCGGACATAATGAGGTGATAGCCGAGGCTATATGAAACCACCCCACCGCCGGCACTCGGATAGTTATCTTGGGCATAGCATTTTACCAAATCACCTCATTCTTTGGGGCACACGTGAGGAACACAAATGCGAACAAGCCTGAATGGTCCCCAGGACATATGCAACTGAAAACTCACACCCCAGAAGTGACTCGAACCCATACTCCCAGAAGCAACGCATCTGGTATGTACAAGACGCCTTAATCCACTTGACCATCACGACCGGACATAATGAGGTGATAGCCGAGGCTATATGAACCACCCCACCGCCGGCACTCGGATAGTTGTCTTGGGCATAGCATTTTACCAAATCACCTCATTCTTTGGGGCACACGTGAGGAACACAAATGCGAACAAGCCTGAATGGTCCCCAGGACATATGCAACTGAAAACTCACACCCCAGAAGTGACTCGAACCCATACTCCCAGAAGCAACGCATCTGGTATGTACAAGACGCCTTAATCCACTTGACCATCACGACCGGACATAATGAGGTGATAGCCGAGGCTATATGAACCACCCCACCGCCGGCACTCGGATAGTTATCTTGGGCATAGCATTTTACCAAATCCCTCATTCTTTGGGGCACACGTGAGGAACACAAATGCGAACAAGCCTGAATGGTCCCCAGGACATATGCAACTGAAAACTCACACCCCAGAAGTGACTCGAACCCATACTCCCAGAAGCAACGCATCTGGTATGTACAAGACGCCTTAATCCACTTGACCATCACGACCGGACATAATGAGGTGATAGCCGAGGCTATTTGAACCACCCCACCGCCGGCACTCGGATAGTTATCTTGGGCATAGCATTTTACCAAATCACCTCATTCTTTGGGGCACACGTGAGGAACACAAATGCGAACAAGCCTGAATGGTCCCCAGGACATATGCAACTGAAAACTCACACCCCAGAAGTGACTCGAACCCATACTCCAAGAAGCAACGCATCTGGTATGTACAAGACGCCTTAATCCACTTGACCATCACGACCGGACATAATGAGGTGATAGCCGAGGCTATATGAACCACCCCACCGCCGGCACTCGGATAGTTATCTTGGGCATAGCATTTTACCAAATCACCTCATTCTTTGGGGCACACGTGAGGAACACAAATGCGAACAAGCCTGAATGGTCCCCAGGACATATGCAACTGAAAACTCACACCCCAGAAGTGACTCGAACCCATACTCCCAGAAGCAACGCATCTGGTATGTACAAGACGCCTTAATCCACTTGACCATCACGACCGGACATTTTGAGGTGATAGCCGAGGCTATTTGAACCACCCCACCGCCGGCACTCGGATAGTTATCTTGGGCATAGCATTTTACCAAATCACCTCATTCTTTGGGGCACACGTGAGGAACACAAATGCGAACAAGCCTGAATGGTCCCAGGACATATGCAACTGAAAACTCACACCCCAGAAGTGACTCGAACCCATACTCCCAGAAGCAACGCATCTGGTATGTACAAGACGCCTTAATCCACTTGACCATCACGACCGGACATAATGAGGTGATAGCCGAGGCTATATGAACCACCCCACCGCCGGCACTCGGATAGTTATCTTGTTTTCAGGTGCATATGTCCTGGGGACCATTCAGGCTTGTTCGCATTTGTGTTCCTCACGTGTGCCCCAAAGAATGAGGTGATTTGGTAAAATGCTATGCCCAAGATAACTATCCGAGTGCCGGCGGTGGGGTGGTTCATATAGCCTCGGCTATCACCTCATTATGTCCGGTCGTGATGGTCAAGTGGATTAAGGCGTCTTGTACATACCAGATGCGTTGCTTCTGGGAGTATGGGTTCGAGTCACTTCTGGGGTGTGAGTTTTCAGTTGCATATGTCCTGGGGACCATTCAGGCTTGTTCGCATTTGTGTTCCTCACGTGTGCCCCAAAGAATGAGGTGATTTGGTAAAATGCTATGCCCAAGATAACTATCCGAGTGCCGGCGGTGGGGTGGTTCATATAGCCTCGGCTATCACCTCATTATGTCCGGTCGTGATGGTCAAGTGGATTAAGGCGTCTTGTACATACCAGATGCGTTGCTTCTGGGAGTATGGGTTCGAGTCACTTCTGGGGTGTGAGTTTTCAGTTATATATATATATATAATATATATATATTATATATATATATATATATATATATATATATCCACCTTTAAGTAGATTCGCAGCTAGGCACTTAACCACTGAAGGTGATTAGTCTGCTTTTACGAGCTCAGGTTAAATGTGTATATAACTCATATACAGTATATCAAGCATATCAAGTATATCAAGTATATCATCAAGGGTTACAGGATTCAGAGAGTATATTTACAGACTCCAGCATACCTCGGCCCAAGGGGGGAGGGGGGGAAGGGAAGTCAGTCAATATTGAGATATTCTACAATATAATGTTCAGTGGAATGTGTGTTTTCTCTTTCACAAAGGTGCCACACAGGGTGTACTCGACACTTGGACAAAGGTGCCACACAGGGTGTACTCGACACTTGGACAAAGGTGCCACACAGGGTGTACTCGACACTTGGACAAAGGTGACACACAGGGTGTACTCGACACTTGGACAAAGGTGCCACACAGGGTGTACTCGACACTTGGACAAAGGTGACACACAGGGTGTACTCGACACCTGGACAAAGGTGACACACAGGGTGTACTCGACACCTGGGACAAAGGTGACACACAGGGTGTACTCGACACTTGGACAAAGGTGACACACAGGGTGTACTCGACACCTGGGACAAAGGTGACACACAGGGTGTACTCGACACCTGGGACAAAGGTGACACACAGGGTGTACTCGACACTTGGACAAAGGTGACACACAGGGTGTACTCGACACTTGGACAAAGGTGACACACATTGTGTACTCGACACTTTCACAAAGGTGACACACAGGGTGTACTCGACACATGGACAAAGGTGACACACAGGGTGTACTCGACACCTGGGACAAAGATGACACACAGGGTGTACTGGACATTTGGACAAAGGTGACACACAGGGTGTACTGGACATTTGGACAAAGGTGACACACAGGGTGTACTCGACACTTGGGAGAGCTGCCGGATACGTCTATATCCCAGGCGTATTCTGGCCACTATAACATCACATTATAGAGGTCAAGAGTAATAGAGTTCTTGCTCTATTAGAGACTAATAGAGTTCTTGCTCTATTAGACTAATAGAGTTCTTGCTCTATTAGACTAATAGAGTTCTTGCTCTATTAGAGACTAATAGAGTTCTTGCTCTATTAGACTAATAGAGTTCTTGCTCTATTAGAGACTAATAGAGCTCCAGCTCTATTAGAGACTAATAGAGCTCCTGCTCAATTAGAGACTAATAGAGCTCTTGCTCTATTAGACTAATAGAGCTCCTGCTCTATTAGAGACTAATAGAGCTCCAGCTCTATTAGTCCCATACATGAATGTATCATCATCATATTCATCATAAAGTTTGATGCTACAACTTTCAGGTCTTTGTGAGTTAGTTTAGTTAAGATTTTCATCAGATATTCGTCTAATTATTCTCTTTGTCACTGCTAATGAAACATTGATATTAGTGTTTACAACATGTCTACTGCAGGCTGTGTTTACAACATGTCTACTGCAGGCTGTGTTTACAACATGTCTACTGCAGGCTGTGTTTACAACATGTCTACTGCAGGCCGTGTTTACAACATGTCTCCTGCAGGCTGTGTTTACAACATGTCTCCTGCAGGCTGTGTTTACAACATGTCTACTGCAGGCTGTGTTTACAACATGTCTACTGCAGGCTGTGTTTACAACATGTCTACTGCAGGCTGTGTTTACAACATGTCTACTGCAGGCCGTGTTTACAACATGTCTCCTGCAGGCTGTGTTTACAACATGTCTCCTGCAGGCTGTGTTTACAACATGTCTCCTGCAGGCTGTGTTTACAACATGTCTACTGCAGGCTGTGTTTACAACATGTCTCCTGCAGGCTGTGTTTACAACATGTCTCCTGCAGGCTGTGTTTACAACATGTCTCCTGCAGGCTGTGTTTACAACATGTCTCCTGCAGGCCGTGTTTACAACATGTCTCCTGCAGGCTGTGTTTACAACATGTCTCCTGCAGGCCGTGTTTACAACATGTCTCCTGCAGGCTGTGTTTACAACATGTCTCCTGCAGGCTGTGTTTACAACATGTCTACTGCAGGCTGTGTTTACAACATGTCTCCTGCAGGCTGTGTTTACAACATGTCTCCTGCAGGCTGTGTTTACAACATGTCTCCTGCAGGCCGTGTTTGTAACATGTCTACTGCAGGCTGTGTTTACAACATGTCTCCTGCAGGCTGTGTTTACAACATGTCTCCTGCAGGCTGTGTTTACAACATGTCTCCTGCAGGCTGTGTTTACAACATGTCTACTGCAGGCTGTGTTTACAACATGTCTCCTGCAGGCTGTGTTTACAACATGTCTACTGCAGGCTGTGTTTACAACATGTCTCCTGCAGGCTGTTTACAACATGTCTCCTGCAGGCCGTGTTTACAACATGTCTCCTGCAGGCCGTGTTTACAACATGTCTACTGCAGGCCGTGTTTACAAGCATGTCAACAGTATCATCATGTCTGGAGATGACAACACGTGATGGTATCCAAGAGGAGTTTAATGTTAAATATATTTTCTTCAGCAGCTAAAACAGTCATTCGAATATCATTTGTATCATTTACGGCAGTTAGATCCCACCCAACTACCACCGTCACTGTGCTAGAGGACTTTAGAGTCCAAGTGGTATCTCAGTTTTGTTATGAAACATTTTATAGGTGTATTTAGGTCTGCCACACACACACACACACACACACACACACACACCACACACACACACACACACACACACACACACACACACACACACACACACACACACACACACCACCTTTTAATATTTTAAACACATTCCTTCCGTAAGTGCTCCCCCCCCAACCCCCCTGAATTCTTTAAAATACATTCACAATAAATCAATTGCCCAAACTCACCTGATCAATCGAACAACTAAATCCCCGATAGAAGTCTGGATTACGATGTATTAATCCGATTAAAAATATATATATTTTTTAAATTTTAATAATTTTTTTATTTAAAAAAATATAGTCGTAATGGCTGGGCGCTTTCCCCTGATAATTCCCTCTCTCTTCAATATATCACCTTTCTAATTCTAAGTTAATCACTTTAAATTCAAAATTCCACTTTGGACATAAATGGCGTTTCACCTGTTTAGTCAGGCCAGAATCGGAGTGATTTGTCCAAGTCTGGTCATCATCAAGCAGGGGCCTCGTAGCCTGGTGGATAGCGCGCAGGACTCGTAATTCTGTGGCGCGGGTTCGATTCCCGCACGAGGCAGAAACAAATGGGCAAAGTTTCTTTCACCCTGAATGCCCCTGTTACCTAGCAGTAAAAATAGGTACCTGGGAGTTAATCAGCTGTCATGGGCTGCTTCCTGGGGGTGGAGGCCTGGTCGAGGACCGGGCCGCGGGGACACTAAAAGCCCCGAAATCATCTCAAGATAACCTCAAGATATCTTCGGCCCCTTGTTAGTGTGTCCAATCGTCAGCTAGTTGTGACCAATTACAGGCTTCTAATTGTAATAATAACCCTTAATTACCCCTTGGTAATTAACTCTTGGGGTAGTTAATGTACAGGACTATTTGTGCACAAGTTTCTATGTATACATGTATACTTCTGGTGTATTTAGTATATTATGTAGTAAATTAAGTAAGTATTTCACTTTAATAGTGTATTTTATGTACTTTTATGTACTTATAAAAGAATATTATGTACTTAAGTCTTTATGTACTTATTATGTACTTATGAATAAAGTCTTTGATTTCATTGATCCGTTATTTTCTTTATTAAATCTCTATTAAATTAATATAAATCTTAGCATAGCACAATAAAATTTGCTAATTACATTATATAAATCCTCAATAAATCCAGCGGATAAATTATACTCGCGAAATAAATCCCCATGAATAACTCAAGCTGTAAATCCATTACAAGTTTACGAAACTAGAAGAACCAGGGGGCCTCGTAGCCTGGTGGATAGCGCGCAGGACTCGTAATTCTGTGGCGCGGGTTCGATTCCCGCACGAGGCAGAAACAAATGGGCAAAGTTTCTTTCACCCTGAATGCCCCTGTTACCTAGCAGTAAATAGGTACCTGGGAGTTAGTCAGCTGTCACGGGCTGCTTCCTGGGGGTGGAGGCCTGGTCGAGGACCGGGCCGCGGGGACACTAAAGCCCCGAAATCATCTCAAGATACCTGGGGCCAGATTCACGAAGCAGTTACGCAAGTACTTACGAACCTGGGGCCAGATTCACGAAGTAGTTACGCAAGTACTTACGAACCTGGGGCCAGATTCACGAAGTAGTTACGCAAGTACTTACGAACCTGGGGCCAGATTCACGAAGTAGTTACGCAAGTACTTACGAACCTGGGGCCAGATTCACGAAGCAGTTACGCAAGTACTTACGAACCTGGGGCCAGATTCACGAAGTAGTTACGCAAGCACTTACGAACCTGGGGCCAGATTCACGAAGCAGTTACGCAAGCACTTACGAACCTGGGGCCAGATTCACGAAGCAGTTACGCAAGTACTTACGAACCTGGGGCCAGATTCACGAAGTAGTTACGCAAGTACTTACGAACCTGGGGCCAGATTCACGAAGTAGTTACGCAAGCACTTACGAACCTGGGGCCAGATTCACGAAGTAGTTACGCAAGCACTTACGAACCTGGGGCCAGATTCACGAAGCAGTTACGCAAGCACTTACGAACCTGGGGCCAGATTCACGAAGTAGTTACGCAAGCACTTACGAACCTGGGGCCAGATTCACGAAGTAGTTACGCAAGCACTTACGAACCTGGGGCCAGATTCACGAAGTAGTTACGCAAGCACTTACGAACCTGGGGCCAGATTCACGAAGTAGTTACGCAAGCACTTACGAACCTGGGGCCAGATTCACGAAGTAGTTACGCAAGCACTTACGAACCTGGGGCCAGATTCACGAAGTAGTTACGCAAGCACTTACGAACCTGGGGCCAGATTCACGAAGTAGTTACGCAAGCACTTACGAACCTGGGGCCAGATTCACGAAGTAGTTACGCAAGCACTTACGAACCTGGGGCCAGATTCACGAAGTAGTTACGCAAGCACTTACGAACCTGGGGCCAGATTCACGAAGTAGTTACGCAAGCACTTACGAACCTGGGGCCAGATTCACGAAGCAGTTACGCAAGCACTTACGAACCTGGGGCCAGATTCACGAAGTAGTTACGCAAGCACTTACGAACCTGGGGCCAGATTCACGAAGTAGTTACGCAAGCACTTACGAACCTGGGGCCAGATTCACGAAGTAGTTACGCAAGCACTTACGAACCTGGGGCCAGATTCACGAAGTAGTTACGCAAGCACTTACGAACCTGGGGCCAGATTCACGAAGCAGTTACGCAAGCACTTACGAACCTGGGGCCAGATTCACGAAGTAGTTACGCAAGCACTTACGAACCTGGGGCCAGATTCACGAAGTAGTTACGCAAGCACTTACGAACCTGGGGCCAGATTCACGAAGCAGTTACGCAAGCACTTACGAACCTGGGGCCAGATTCACGAAGCAGTTACGCAAGCACTTACGAACCTGGGGCCAGATTCACGAAGTAGTTACGCAAGCACTTACGAACCTGGGGCCAGATTCACGAAGTAGTTACGCAAGCACTTACGAACCTGGGGCCAGATTCACGAAGCAGTTACGCAAGCACTTACGAACCTGGGGCCAGATTCACGAAGTAGTTACGCAAGCACTTACGAACCTTTCCTTTTATAGCTTTGTTTTGCTTTTTTTGCTTTTATAGCCTTTTTTTTTGCTTTTTTAGCTTTTTTTCCTTTTCCTGCTTTTATAGCTTTGCTTTATTTGCTTCTATAGCTTTGATATTTTGTTGCTTTTTTGCTTTATAGCTTTGTTTGTTTTGCTTTTTTTTTGCTTGTATAGCTTTGCTTTTTTTAGCTTTTTTCCTTTTATAGCTTTGCATTTTTTTACTTTTATAGCTTTTCCTCCTTTCCCCTCAGCTATATTAGCCTTAGCTTACGTTATCTCAGCTATATTAGCCTTAGCTTACGTTATCTCAGCTATATTAGCCTTAGCTTACGTTATCTCAGCTATATTAGCCTTAGCTTACGTTATCTCAGCTATATTAGCCTTAGCTTACGTTATCTCAGCTATATTAGCCTTAGCTTACGTTATCTCAGCTATATTAGCCTTAGCTTACGTTATCTCAGCTATATTAGCCTTAGCTTACGTTATCTCAGCTATATTAGCCTTAGCTTACGTTATCTCAGCTATATTAGCCTTAGCTTACGTTATCTCAGCTATATTAGCCTTAGCTTACGTTATCTCAGCTATCTCTCAGGTCGGGCTCTCGTTATCTCCCCTTAGAACTGTCTCTCCGGGTCAGTTTTCCAACCCTCAAATATTCAAAACTTTTAATTTTCTTTCCCATCTTTCGGCTTCCCGCAGGAAAGGTAAGAAATGCTTCCCGGAGGGAGGGAGAGGGGAGATGGAAGGGGGAGGGAGAGGGGAGGGAAGAGGAGAGAGAGAGGGGGAGGGAAGGGGAGGGAGAGAGGGGAGGGAGGGGAGAGAGGGGGAGGGGAGGGAAGGGAAGGGAGAGAGGGAGGGGAGAGAGAGGAGGGAGATGGAAGGGGGAGGGAGGGAGAGGGGCAGCAGCCTCTCAACACAGTCCCTTTAAAATGGAGAGAGTGGGGGGAGAGGGGGGTGAGGGAACTAGGGGGCAAGGGGGGAGGTACCTCTGCTACCCTCTTAAACCCCCTCCCTGCCCCCCCCCCCCCCACACACTATTTTTGTAGGGGGTGAGGGAGGAAGGGAGGGGAGTGAGAGGGGGGGGTTACCCTGCCCCACTCTCCCGTCATTGGAGAATGGGAAGGGGGGGAGAGAGAGAGGGAAGAACGAGAAGGTGTTGGGATCTGGGGGAAAGAGAGAGAGATACAAAGGGAGGGGAGATAGGGAGGGAGAGGGGGAGATAGGGGGGAGAGAGTAGGGGGGAGATAGGGAGGGAGAGGGGGGAGATAGGGGAGATAGGGAGGGAGAGGGGGAGATAGGGGAGAGAGGGAGAGGGAGGAGATAGGGGAGATAGATAGGGAGGGAGAGGGGGGAAGATAGGGAGATGAACGAGAGAAGGTAATTAATTTTAAACCCATGAATGGTTGAATGACTACACGACTGGTCCGAGATTGAAGGTCTGGCCTGCGCTTGAAACACGCCCGGTGACCCAACACCTATTTTTCACCCGGTAAGTTGTACCTATTAATCTACAAACCCTATTTCCAAACCAGTAAATTTACCCAATTTACCTAAATAGATTCATTTTCAATCTATTTCCAAATAGGAAATAGATTCGTATATAATCTATTTCTTATTTAGTGAGTTGATATATTTAACACGTAATTAATATACTCCGTGTTATATCTTTTTAGATATACGTTATCTAATTATATCTTTCTCATCCTCCAGAGACGCAGGTTCGATCTTACGGCCCTGCTCCATTTGCTCACTGATATACCAGCCTATT